GGCTATAGATTCATTGCCATCTCTATTAAAATACCAATAGCATTTTTCACAGAACTCTAATAATCCTAAAATTTGTATGGAACCACAAAAAGACCCCAAATAGCCATAGCAACCCTAAGAAAGAAGAACAGAGCTGGAGGTATCACAATTCCAGATTTCAAGGTATACTACAAAGTTGTAGGCATCAAAACAGTATGGTACTGGCATAAAAACAGAATAGAGGGCCCAGAAATAAACTGACACTTACATGGTTAATTAAAAGCAAGAATATACAGCAGGGAAAAGACAATCTCTTCGAAAAATGGTTTTGGGAAAACTGGACAGCTACATGCAAAAGAATGAAACTATACCAACTTTCCAAAATAGATTGAAAACCTAAATGTGAGACCTGAAACCATAAAACTCCCCAAAGAAAACATAGGCAGTAATCTGACATTGGCTTTAGTGACATTTTTCTAGATACATCTCCAGAGACAAGGGAAACAAAAGCAAAAATAAACTCTTGGGACTACATCAAAATAAAAAGCTTCTGCACAGCAAAGGTAGCCATAAACAAAATGAGAAAGCAACCTACTGAATGGGAGAAGATATTTGCAAATGATATATTCAATAAAGGGTTAATATCCCAAAATACATGAAGAACTCCTATAACCCAACACAAAAAAACAATCAAATTTTTAAAATGAGCAGAGGACCTGAATATTGATTTTTCCAAAGAAGACATACAGTGGCCAACAGATACATGAAAAGATTCTCAACATCACCCATCATCAGGGAAATGAAAATCAAAACCACCAGGAGAGATCACCTCACACCTGTCAGAATGCCTGAAAATAAAAAAGATGAGAAATAGCAAGTGTTGGGAGAGGATGCGGTGAAAAAGGAACCCTCATGCACTGTTGGTGGGAATGAACACTGATGCAGCCAGTGTTGAAAGAGTATGAGAGTTCCTCAAAAAATTAAAAACAGAACTACCATATGATCCAGTGTTCCAGTCCCTGGGTATTTACCCCCCAAAATGCAAAAACTCTAATGTGAAAGGATACTTTGACTCCTGTGTTTATTGCAGCATTATTTACAAAGCCAAATTATGGAAGCAGCCCAAGTGTTCATCAGTAGATGAATGGAGAAGGAAGATGTGCTGTACGTATATCCAATGGAATGTTACTCAGCCGTAGAAAAAGAATGAGACCTTGCTATTTGCCACCACGTGGATGGAGCTAGAGAGTATTATACGGAGTGAAATAAGCCAGAGAGAGAAAGACAAATCCTATATGATTTCACTGAAATGTGGAATCTTGCAAACAAAACAACAAAACAGATTTTTCAAAAAATAGAGAAGACAATGGGGATTTCCAGAGGGGAGGTTAGCGGAGAGATGGGTAAACTAGACAAAGGGCATTAAGAAATACAAACTTCCAGGGGCGCCTGGGTGGCGCAGTCGGTTAAGCATCCGACTTCAGCCAGGTCACGATCTCGCGGTCCGTGAGTTCCAGCCCCGCGTCGGGCTCTGGGCTGATGGCTCAGAGCCTGGAGCCTGTTTCCGATTCTGTGTCTCCCTCTCTCTCTCTGCCCCTCGCCCGTTCATGCTCTGTCTCTCTCTGTCCCAAAAATAAATAAACGTTGGAAAAAAAAAAAAATACAAACTTCCAGTTATAAAAGGAATCAATCACAGAGATGAAAAGTACAGCACTTGGAACACAGTCCATAATACGATGCTGTTTGGCGACCAGTGGTTACGACACTTAACCATGGTGAGCACTGAATAACGTAAAGAATTAATCATTACGTTGTACGCCTGAAACTAATACACTAGTTACACTCACTCATGATTCGCGTTACTAGTCAAGGGAAAAAGGGAACTTACCTCCGATGAGAGATGCTTTGTCTTGGTTGCATGTGGTCATTTCAGGACCTGGTTTATGCCAAGTGGATTAAACACGGATTAAAGTTGAGTCTATCCATAAGTATACATAACCCTCTGATGCTCTCAATCAGATTGTTATCTACTGCCATCTAGCTAGAATAAAACAACAGCCCATTCCTAGAGAAAGTATACGGGCCTTTTCCATGCTTGTTTTAATTGAAATGACACGCATGTCAAGGCATAATTTATTATTTTGAAGAGCTATTTAGGGCAGTGATTTATTTCTTCAAGCAACTTTCTGTTGAGAAAACAAGCTTTCATTTTTGTTTTAGATCAAATTTGTGTTGTCATTTTCAATTCTAATGGCAATTTTTCATTTTGAGTCACCCTGATGCTATGCTTTGTGACTGCTTTCCAGCAGTGTATTTCAGAATCCACAAATTACCCACATCAAACGTTTAGCGATGAAGCTGTGTTTCTGGTAAATACCTTGTATGCATACATTATGTTGAGTTATCAGCTAACATGGAAACAGATTTAAGATCATGTTTTCATTTAATTTTGAAAACCAGTTACAAATATGCTTATATATGAGGGAGAGTCAAACTAGAGTTTTAAAGGAACGGAAACCGGCTTTGCAGAACTCTCCAAGTTCCAAAATGGCTCAGAATCAGAGAAACCTTGACACGAATAAACAGAGCTGTCGAGAACTCAAGACCCAAAGGTGTAGGTTGGTGGTCAGTTTACTTTATGATGAAAATTGGCAGGCAGTAAGAGAGTCATTTTTGCCTGTGCATTTGTGAGAAGCCTAGACAAAATGAAAAGAACAGAGATTAACATAAGACCCTTCAGAGCTGACTCATGGCAGTTAGCCTTGGCAGTGAGAGGCAGCAAATACTTACGCAACAGTGTTAATTAGGTATTACGGACCCCTCAGTCCCATCTCCAGAAGACTTCCGACCTGTCTGTATCATTCAGCTTTCCTAGATTAAGACACAGCAGCTCAAGAAGACTGTTTCAGTTCTCAGTTAGAATGGCTAATATTTATCAGGTACCCAGTTGTGTGTCAGACACTAACTCTAAATATACGCCTCAGTTATTTGTATCCTTTCCACAACTCAATGAGTAGTTTCTATTACAAGCCCCATTTTGCTCAAGCGAACATGGAGACCGAGGGAGATAGAGTTAGTTGCTCAAAAGTAAGCAAGTGAAACCCAAATTCGAGCCCAGGATTCTTGCTTCAGAGTCTACATTCCTAACTTACAGCTCTCTCTGATGAATGGGAATCTGTATTAGGATTTTTTTTTCATCTTCCTGCTAATGGCCGACTTATTCAGAATATGAACATGAATACCTTTCGGCCGAGATTTCGTGAGCAGTTCATCTCTCATGTAAGTGTTCACTTTCCTTACAACATTTACAGTGTATTTGTCCATTTGGTTCCATTGACGAGTGAATATTAAGGAAAACAGATACATTGCTCAGAATCACAACTACAGAAATAATCTCTTCTTGCAGCAGCAACCAAGAATTTGTAGGTTTTCAAAACAGCCCACCTGAATCACAGCTAGACAGTCCCAATACGAGGAAGTAATCAATTTTCGTATTAAAACAACGCATGCAGTGTGAAATATGACAAAGCTCTATTCCCTGTACTGCCTTGTTTTGGCTCAGCCATGGCTTTGCAAAGCTGTCCAGTGAGGAAGGACTGGGGTCATATATGGCACTCAGTACCGTTATTTAGCAAGCACACAGTTGTATCTGCACACGATGCTTACTACTTACTACAAACAACCTCTCCAGTGAAAGAAATCTGTTGCTCTTGACGGACAAGCATACTTATTTCAGGGCAAAGAAAAACGACCTGCCAGGCACTACCCCAACCCCCTTGTCAAGATGCGGAATTACATAGTGTTTGCTCCGCAAAGGTAGTTCCCAGTCCAAAGACAATTGCAACATACAACCTGTTATTTCCCAATACAGATGCATTTCTCAAGGAAACTTTTTCTTGACCTTATAAATTCACAATTCAGACTTTGTTAAAGAGAGACACTAGCACCTTTGTAGTTATATTTAAGATTCTAGGGGCGCCTGGGTGGCTCAGTCGGTTAAGCGTGCGACTTTGGCTCAGGTCATCATCTCATGGCTCATGGGTTCGAGCCCTGTGTCGGGCTCGTCAGAGGCCTGAAGTCTGATTCAGATTCTGTCTCCACCTCTCTGCCCCTCCCCTGCTTCCTCTTTCTCTCTTTCTCAAATATATATATTTTTTTTAATTAAAGAATTTCTTGGAAGAAAAAAACAGCTAAAGTATAAAGTTTCTGCTAAGGAACCAAGGAGCTAACCTTAGATGCCAATGGTTTTTTTTCCTTCCCTTTATTGTTATTTCATTAAATAAAGAGAGTGAGGACAGAGAGTGTGAGCGTTCTTTGCCAAACGTAAGAATCAAGTTTACTAATCTAAATTCCCTTCCGAGTACCTTTTTCCTTCCACTTATCTCTTTGCTCCATCTTTTCTAGTAAGAAGGCAGTAGTGTGGGACATGGGTGTTATTTCTCTTGCTGGCAAAATTTTGGAAAGCAGACCATGTAGCTTGTGATATATGACTGCAACACAGCATCACAGCTCATTTCCAAAGTGGCTCTCTGGAAGCATTAACCTTTTTATTCATGCTCTTATGAACCGTGTCTGTATTATTTAGGAAGATTCAAAACCAAGCCCTCTAAAAATAAGTACGACTGAACCCATAAACTTTTGCTTTACCAAACCCAACCCTTGGTAGACAGCTTTAAAATAGGCTTCGTCTCCTCCCTGTCCACTGCTGTGTCTCGTTAGAGGATGGGGGGGGGAGGGGGGTGCTGGGAAGCTTATCGAAGGAGGTATGACGCTGAACTCCGCCTCGGTGCTTACGGGAGGGTAGAGTTAACTATCTCATTTGTCAGGGCAAAGCATTCCTGGATGTGGTCTTCAAGGGCTTTTGAAAACCCAAGGCAGCACCCATCACATGGCATTTGGCCAGAGGACATTGATCTCCAGGGTCAAAGTTTGGCACAGGAATATAATGAAATGAGGACAAAATAAGTAAAACCCTATCAGAGAAACGAACATCTTGTACACTTTCATTTTCTGTGTCTCAGAGGTTCGTTTGAAGATTCTACGACCAGATTCTACACCGCGTGTGTGGTGGAAGCCTTCGCCTATCTGCATTCCAAAGGAATCATTTACAGGGACCTCAAGCCAGAAAATCTCATCCTGGATCACCGAGGCTACACCAAACTGGTCAGTGCCCTTTACGCACGGTTTCTGCCCCACGGGTTTAAAACCTCTGTTCATAAAGCTGTGTTCATTTCCTAACATCAAAACCTCCCTTTTCCTTTGTAAATGCTATAACTTTTCTTAAGAGCATATCTTTGCATTATTGCTTTCAGCTCTTCTTTCAAGTGATGCAAAAGTTGTAAGAAATTAAATTGGCTAGGTCTTAATTAATACTGTCTTGGCAGGATGTGTTTAAATGGACTCGGACCTGTGGACACGTGTTCATAGACCTCTAGAAGAGCTTTGTAGACCTTTCTCTTGTCCACTTTCTGCCATTCACAGGGAATGACTACCTACGTCATAGAAAACCATGAATCCTTTTAACATCTTAGATTTAAGTACAATCGTAACAGGAAAAAAAATCGCTTGCTAGGCAATGTTATTTAGGCCATTTGAATTATAGTAATAGTAATGATCACAATAATAAAATCTGTCAAGCGCTCTAAAGATTTACCGTAGGAGGGAAGTTCTGTTATAAAATGAACAATTTTTGTGGACGTTGAATCTGTCAGTGCCTGGCTATTTTTTAAACTTTGGGACTTTTTATTCAGCATATGGTTTTCAAGGAAATCAAATCAATGGCTGTTCATTATTTGTGTTCTCAACCAAATCGTTTTGGGAAAAAAAAAGGTTTTCTGCATTCGATGCTCCTCCGTCCAGAAAGATTTCTAGAAAAACGAAGGACACATTTGCATTGTATCTCTGTTTATGTGTACTCGGGGCAGGGGTACATTTTGTTACTAGGTTCCTTGAGCAGTGCACTGGCTTCTCATTGCTAAATGAATTGTCTGCTTCCTAAATCCAGCAGAAATCATGCATATTCTGGAAAACGTGTCAAGTAGGTCCACCTAGACTTCTAAAAATTTTAAGTAAAGGGGTTGTGGCCCGACCTCCATGGTCAGGAAAGGAGGAAGAAATGGAAGCTGTTTCTGGAAAGAAAGGTTTACCTGTATTTCTAATGATGTGAGTTTCAGCCTATACTCAGGTTTTAACTTTTCCTATTACACTGACTTTGCTCAAGGAGGCTTTGTTTGAAACACAGATGACTCCTTTGGGAATATAGGACTGTAGTGATATGCATCTGTTTTTATTATTATTCCGTGCACTTCAGCTAAGTACCTTACTGCTTTTCAGCTTGAAAATAAGTAAGTGCCTTGAAATAACTTGTTTTTCTCTCTTTGTAAGGTTGATTTTGGCTTTGCAAAGAAAATAGGATTTGGAAAGAAAACATGGACTTTTTGTGGGACTCCAGAGTACGTGGCTCCAGAGATCATCCTGAACAAAGGCCATGACATTTCAGCCGACTACTGGTCACTGGGAATCCTAATGTATGAACTTCTGACTGGCAGGTACGGACATTGGCAGAGAATTGCTGATAAAAATAGATCAGCCAACAGCTGCACGCTCCTGCCTTTGTCACTCTGATTAGACCATCTTAAAGCACATTTCACCATATCTCGGTCCAGCACTTCAAGTAATTATGCAAGTGCCCAGGGATTCGTAAAACAAACTCTAAAATGGGTTGGATGAGGGCAGGGAACTCGACGTCAACCTTTGCCCTCATCATTATGAATTCCTTGTACATATGTGAGAGTGTGGAAAAACCTAGTGTCTTTCTGTGAGATCTTTGAGCCTAGCTGCTTAGCCAGCAATGAAGCAAGGGAGGTAATAGTGGTATAAAAATATCTAGGGTCAACTATTTATAGAGATAAGAGGACATGTTGACAAGTATTATACCTAAATGAAACGGGAATAGTTTGCAGGTCTTCTGCGTAATGCTCTTAGAGCCATCAGCAAGGAAAAGAAGATCCCCAACAAAAAGAGAAGCAAACACCCCACCGTGCCGTGCATGGGGGACAATGAGTAGTAGGGTCATTATAAACCAGAGTTCAGAAGAAGGCTGGGTAGAGGTCTCAGACACACAGAGCAAGGAAAGGACATCCCATGGCTTCACTAGAAGGGCAATAGGGGGCAAAGACATGGAGAGGTTGTGTGTCGAAAAACTTACTGGGAACCTGAGGGCTGCCTGACTAGCTTTAGCACAAGAGAGAGAGAGGCCACATAGATGACAAAGGGATACAGAGAGAGTTGGGGAAACAGGAACAGAGGGGACCCCCACCCCTAACACCACGAGCTGGAGTGGGGAGGAACGTACAGAGAAACGGTGAGCGGGTGCATCTGCCCCTGGCACGGAACCTTAAGTCATGGCTTAAAAGGGCAACTTCAAATAACAGAACCAGCCCTAGAACCCTGCCAAGTGGTGGGGACTCCCTGTAGTCCTCAGAAGCTGGCAGGTACCTCTACTTATGTTTCCCCTCCACCTTGATAGTACAGAGGGGAGCAGAGCCCAGGCACCACAGGGAGCCCCAGCCCCCTGACCCTAGATGTCCCACCAGTGTGGACACCCTTGGTCAGTGCTCATTATGACTCCAGCCATCTCACCAAGGTAAGACAGGCACAGAATACTCTAGACGTGCCCTACTTTGGCTCTCCATGACTTGCCAAAACAACCCAGTGTCAAGTGCCCTGGGACCCCTGGCCCAGGCCCACCTCGACTCTTGCTGTCCTGCCAGGGGGGCCTCTGCGTGGAGGGCCCCATGACCCCTGGCTTCTACCCACTTGAGCTGTCCTGCCACTGGGGCCTTAGCACAGACAGCCCCAGAACCGCCCCAACAGGGCGGCCCAGGATCCATAGCCCATGACAGCTACAGCTCTGTAGAGCCAGCCAAAGTCAGCAGGCAAACACGGTCTACACAGGGATGACCATACGGAAGGTCATTCCGTCGAGTTTAGGAGAAGCAGCTATTCTGTAATTCGTCGAAACAAAGTCGATCGAAATGAGGAGAGAGGGGAATATGGTCCGTAGGAAAGAACACAAAACTTCAAAAAAGGTAAGTGGAGATAAGCATGGGTGAACTCTGTGAGAACTTTAACAAATAGAAAACACCAAGAAAAGAACCAGAGGTGAAGAATACAGTAACTGAAATGTAAAATACACTAAAGGGAGTAAATAGTGGATTAGAAGAGAGAAGAACGGCTCAGTGATCTAGAAGACAGAGCCAATGGAAAGCACCCCAGCTGAACAGCAAAAAAAAAAAAAAAACGGGGGGGGGGGGAATTAAAAGAAATTGAAGCTAAGGAATCTCTTGGACAACATCAAACAATAATTCCCATTATCTGGGTCCCAGAGACAGAAAAGAGCAGACAACATGTTTGAAGAAATAAGAACTCAAAACTTCCCTACCCTAGGAAAGGAAGTAGACATCCAGTTTCAGGAAGCCCTAAGAATTCCAAACAAGATGAACCCATGGCACACATTTATCAATGTCACAGATTATACACCACCAAGCAAGTTTATCGTTCAGATTTGAAGGAGCAATAAAGAGTTTACCAGAAAATCAAAAAAAAAAAAATGGTTAAGGGGAATTCTTTAATAATCAGAAGAAAATAGTGAAAAAAAACTTCATTAATAAAAGTAAACATACAGTAAAGGGACTAGAGCAATGACTTATAGGGCTAGTATGAAGGTTAAAAGAAAAAGTAGTAAAGTCAACTACTTGATTTTATTAATATTAAGGCATTAATATTTATTATTATAATTTTGTTATATAAATATAAAATATATATAAATTTATGTTAATTTATATAATTATAATATATAACTATATAAATACAATCTATTTTTTATTTTATTTTATAGATAATATATATATTTTATATATATTAATATTAAGGCAACTCATAAAATAAAAAGCTGTAAAATATGACAGTATATACACAAAGTGGTGGGGGAGGGTAAAAATCAAGTTCTTTCAGAATGTGTTTAACTTAAGTGACCATGAACTTAATATAGACTACTATATACTTAGGATGTTGTTGCATATGAACCTCATGGCAACCACAAACTAAAATGTACCAAAGATACACATAAAATAAAGACAAAACTGTATGCTGCTTACAAGAGGCAAACTTTAAAGACACATGCAGACTGAAAGTGGGGGGAAAAAATATTGCATGCAAAAGGAAGCCAAAAAAACAAACAAGACAAAAGAAGCTTCAGTAAGAATACTTATGCCTGACAAAATAGACCAAAAAAGACTGTAACAAAGACAAAGAAGAGTGTTACATAGAGATAAAGGGATCAATCCAACAAGAGGATTTAAGTTGTAAATACCAATCCACCAACATGGGAGCACCTAAGTACATTAAGCAAGTCTGAACATAAAGGGAAAATTGACAGTAAGACAACATAGCAGGGGACATTAACACCCCACTTGTGTCAATGGACCTGTCATCCAGGCAGGAAGTCAGTAAGGAAACAGTGTCTTTGAAAGACACATTAGTCTAGATGGGCATAACAGACAGATATGGCCCATTCCATCCAACAGTAGCAGAATACACATTCTTTTCAGAATGAAAAGCACGTGAAACAGTCCCCAGGATAGAGCACAATTTAGGCTACAAGTCTCAATACGTTTAAGATTGAAATCATATCAAGCATGTCTTCCAACCACAATGGTATGAAACTACAAATCAGTTACAAAAAAGAAAAAAAGCCAAAACATAAAGAGGCTAAACAATGTGCTACCAAACGACCAATTTCTCAACGAACAAATCAAAGAGGGAATATTTAAAAATACACAGATACCAGCAGCAACAACAAACACGGAGACAATGTAAACAAAACCATCCAAAATCTTTGGGAAGCAGCAAAAGCAGTTCTAAGAAGGAAATTTGTAGTAGCGGAGGCTTATCTCAGCAGTAAAGAAGTTAGAAAGATAACGGACAAAGACAAAATTAGAAGAGAGGAAATAATAAAAATCAGAGAGGAAATAAACGAGAGACCAAAAAAAAAAAAAAGAAGAAGAATACAAAGGATCAATGAAAGTGAGTATTGTTTTCTTAAAAGAGAAACAATATTGAGAAACCTATATAGCAAGACTCATGAAGGAAAACAAAAGAGAGAATCCAAATAATTAATATCAGAAGTGAAAGCAAAGTAACAACCAACAGTACCAACATGCAAAGGTTATTAGAGAAGGAATACTATACAAATTATGTGCCACCAAAGTGGACAATCTAAAAGAAATGGATGAATTTCTAGAAATACACAATCGTTCAAAACAAAATCAGGAAGAAATAGCAAATCTGAACAAACCTATAACTAGTAACAAAATTGTTTTAAAAACAAACCTATAACTAGTGATCAAAAACACCCCAATAAACAAAAGCTGAGGAGAAGAGGGCTTCACAGGTGAATTCTACCCAATATTTAAGGAAGAACTGATAGCTAGTCTCCCCAAACTATTACTAAAAAAAAAAAGAAACCTTCATTTTATAAGACCAGTACTACACTGATACCAAAACCAAAGACACTACCAAAAAAGAGAACTGCAGGGCAATATACTTGAAGAACCTGGATTGAAAAAATCTCAACAAAATATTAGCAAACCACATTCAACAATACATTAAAAGGATCACTCACCACGATCAGGTGGGATTTATTCTGGGGATACAAGGGTGGTTCAGTATTCTCAAATCGATCAACATCATCGACCACATTGACAAGAAAAAGGGTAAAGCCCATATGATCATCTTAACAGATGCATAAAAAGGTTTTGACAGAATTCAGTATCTGTATATAATACCCTCAACAAAGCGGGTTTAGAAAGAACATACCTTAACATATTAGAGTCCATATATGAAAAAACCCCAACTAACATCGTACTCAATGGTGAGAAACTGAGAGATCCAGAAACAATACAAGAATTTCCACTATCACCACTGTTATTCAGCATAGTACTGGAAGTCATAGCTGAAGCAGTCAGACAAGAAAGGGAAATAAAAGGCATCCAACGTGGTAAGGAAGAATTTCAGCTGTCACTGTTTGCAGATGGCACAGTACTACACGTAGAAAACCCTAAATATGCCATCAAAAAACGTTAGAAATAATAAGTGAATTCAGTAACGTTGGAAGACAAAAAATTAATACACAGCAATCTGTTGTCTTTCTATTCATTACTAACAAAGCAGAAGGAGAATTTAAGAAAGCAATTCTATGTACATTGCCCCAAAAAATAAAGTTACCAAAGATAAATTTAACCAAGGAGGTGAAAGACCTGTTCTCCAAAAACTATTAAATTTTGATGAAAGAAATTGGGAGCAAATGGAGACATGGTCTGTGCTCCTGGATTGTAAGAATTCGTATTGTTAAAATGTCCATACTACCCAAATCACTCTACAGATTCAGTGCGATCCCTATCAAAATTCCAATAGCATTATTCACAGAACTAGGACAAATAATACTAAAATCCGTATGAAACCACCAAAGACCCTGAATAGTAGAAGCAATCCTAAGAAAGAAGAACAAAGCACAAAAGTAGACACACAGACCATGGGAGCCGAACAGAGAGCCCAGAAGTAAACATTTGCTTATGTGGTCAATTACTCTCCAACAGAGGAAGCAAGAATAGGTAATGCCAGGGGGAAATGGACGGCTAGATGTTGTGAAAAAGCTAAAGGATGTGGAAGAGATCATGGCAGGTGACTCTTGTAAGTTTAAACTCAAGGGGTGCCTGGCTGGCTCAGTCTGTGGAGCATACGACTCTTGATTTCTGGGTTGTGAGTTTGAGCCCCACAGTGGGTGTAGAGATTACTTTAAAAAAAAAATACAATCAAGTTTAAATTCAAGTAGTAGACTAAATTGTCGCATTATGTTGGTTGACAGAGGTGACGGGATCAGTTCCATCCCGTAGGTTGATCGGAGTAGACCTTTTTTGGGAAAGCGGCATAACCCTTTAGCCAGGTAAATATGGGAAGAACCTTCCAGGCGAAACAAACCGCATTCTGAGGTGCAAAGATGCTTGGTATTTCAGAGAGCAGACATGGCGTCCTGATCCCAGCGAGTGAGGGTGGTGTTAGCAGGAGATGGAGTCCTATTACTGGCATCCTTGTAGCCGTCTAGTGATTTTGGACTTCATGTTGAATGTAATCAGTGAGCTGACAGGTGCAGGAAAAGGGCTAGAAAGTGGAAGCCACATCTTGAATGGCCAAGGACAGCAAGACTAACAAGACATGAGAGGAATGGCAGATCAGCTTGACCCATATATGGTTTGGCGGGGGGTGGCTGTTTGTATTTTTAATGTTTATTTATTTTTGAGGAAGAGAGTGCACGAGCGAGTGGAGGAGGGGCAGACAGAGAGGGAGACACAGAATCCGAAGCAGGCTCCAGGCTCCGAGCTGTCAGCACAGAGCCCGACGCGGGAGGGGGGTAAAGCCGCAAGATCATGGCCTGAGCCAAAGCGGGACACTTGACCCACTGAGCCATCCAGGCACCCCCCGTATATGGTTTTGCTCCATGATTTACTCACAAAGGTTTCCACGTGGTTTTGCTATTAATCCAGCATCGTTCCGTGTTACCACGACTAATATATGTCCCCAAATAAGACTGGTGGAGTTATAACAGTTTAGGATTTCTTATTTAGAAAATACGAGTGATTCTCTTTTCACCTCTCACCTTTGCAGCCCGCCATTCTCAGGCCCAGACCCTATGAAAACCTATAACATCATACTGAGGGGGATTGACATGATAGAATTTCCGAAGAAGATTGTCAAAAATGCTGCTAATTTAATTAAAAAACTATGCAGGTAAGCGTTTGGCCACGTGACGTTTGAAAGGATCATGACGGGAACATGATGGGATCCCTTACAGGTGTTGTTTTCTTTCCAGGGATAACCCATCGGAAAGACTAGGGAATTTGAAGAACGGCGTCAAAGACATCCAAAAGCACAAGTAAGTGTTCTTCCCTTGACCTTTCTGTGGGAGGGTCCAGAAAGCCCCTCCCCAGGCTGTTCTTTTTAAGCTACTGGCTGTGTGACTGACACAGTTAGCCCATGGGAACACTGCGGGGGACGTTCAGACCAGTTAGCCTTTGGGCACAGCACAGCCACACGCGACCCTGTGCCCTACTAAGTGACCAATTCACTGAATTCAGTTTCTCCCAGCTCACGCTAAGGAGCATTGCTCCTCTCTGGCACCAAGAGGAAATGTGAACTAGATTGATCGATTGAATTCTAGGTGGATTCTAGAATTCTATTCTCTACCAGAATATCAAAAACACAAGTCCTCCACCATATCATGCCTCATTTCCTAGACTAAAACTGGAATATATTTTTCCACCCGCTTCCCAATTAGATGATAAAACATAGTACTGAGTACAGCGTTGTTTTTAAGTGATGGCAGCGTCTTAAATATTAACCCTTACCTAGTTGATTGGATATCTGAGTGCTAATCTAAGACCCAGTTGTTGTTTTTTATTAGTCTGTTGGTGTAACACCCACAGGAAATTCACATCTGTGCAAAAAGAACTTACTTACCAAAGTATCTATAAATACCTAAAACACCTGCTAAGAATTTGGTGTATGCATTTGCTACTGCTGAAAACTTTTAAAGACAAAACAGAAACCTGCTCCTCATTTTCACAGAAAATCTGAACACAAATACCTTCGTTTTTTTAACACTTAACTAAAAATGACATTTTACTAGAAATTATTATGACCCTAGTATTGCATAGTCAATGTTTTCTTCTACGAACACAAAAACAGTACCAAGTCAGAGTTAGACCTGACAAATATAGTGATGTGAAAAGGTTAATTAGGCTGCCCAAGGAATCAGTGCAAAGCTGGAAAAATAATTTTCTGTCCTGACTTTCATGCCCTGGTTCCATTGCCTTAAAATAAGATGTCCAAGTAGATCATGGGCTAAGGATATCATGGCACTTATTAAGTTATAATGATAGTACAGGAACAAGGTCATACAGACATTGTGACGAAATTGCCAGGGGGACACAGGAGTTATTTGTAACCGATGTTAAATATTTCAACAATTAGATTTTTAAAATATGCATTGTATAAAACAACTGTGAAAGTTTTCAATGACACAGGATACATTTGTGTCACGTTGAAAATGTTCGCCTTTCTGCTTTCCATCCTGTATGGATATTTCCACATCAAATATGTTGCAACGGGGCTTCAGCTAAAGTAAAATGCCTTTAACCAGCTCCTTTTTCTCCTCCCTTTCCTAGATGGTTTGAGGGCTTTAACTGGGAAGGCTTAAGAAAAGGCACCTTGACACCTCCTATAATACCAAGTGTAAGTAGACTTCCCAGCGAATACTTGTGTGACAAGGTTTTATCCTGTGATCAGATTAAATAAACTATAGAAGTACCACATTAGAATAGTATCTAAAATGCAACCTTAAAAACAGGCCAGTTAGGAGATGGTTATTGTATGTGTATTCTATCATTACCTGTTTCAACTATTCGTTCTAATTTATTTGTCCTTTTATCGAGCTCTAAAAGAAAAGGATTCTCGTTCCTTAACTGTCTTTTCTGAACATATCGGGTTTTTTGTGAAATAGCAGCCCAGTGAGGGTGACTCAGTATTTGGACTGTATTAACTTGAAATCGATTTCACTTGATTGCATTTTTACGTATTTCTGTTTAATGCTGCCTCTTTACGAAAAGGCACAGACCGCTTTGTGGTCCTGAGCCTTTCAGGTGTACGCTTCCTTCCCCTGGGACTAACTCAAGCCTGCTCTTGATTCAGAAGCATTTTCCCTACTTCTGAGATTTATTTCTGTGTCAATGCTTATGCCTCTTCGCAAACAAAAACCCCGTTACCGTGGCTCACGTCGCAGATTCTAACTGCATTCTTCAAGTTTTGTTTTTAGAACAAGAGTAGAGAGTAAGCCTGAATTATACTTGCCTACATCCACCAGAGGTTTCCTTTTATGGATATACATATATATATATATACATATATATATATATATATATATATATACACACACACACATATAAATATAAAAGAGGTTCTAAATATTATAGAATATGAGGGAAACTAAAGGATGGATTTTTTACTGCTTTTACTGATGCTCTGCAGTTTGGACTTTGCCCGAGAAATTTGCAAGAGTTCTGACCGAGGTCAGAAATGGCTTTTATTCTACTTGAAATAAACACACACAAGACTTAAGATGGTCTACAGGGTGCTACCCAGCCTGATTTCTGCCTGCTTCTCCTATTTCTCATTCCAGTCCTATCCTCTCTTACACAGCAGCCACATTGGCCCCTTTGGATCACTTCACAGCATGAAGCACTCTCTCTCCCCTCGGGACCTTTGCACGTGCTACAACCTCTTTTTTGAACTCACCAATTCTTAGTTTTGAAATACTATTTTTTCAAAGAGGCTTTCCATCATCACTCATACTCTCAAGTCTTTTTTCTTCCTAACACTAAGCAAACCTTATAGTCATCTACAGATTTTTGTGATTATTTGGTTTTAGTCCTACAAGGTACTCCCTGCCAGGGTAGGGCAAGAGCAATGTCTTTTTTTATTCACCGCCCTTAGCCCCAGTAAAAAGCACAAAGCCTGCCACCTGGTAGCCATTCAAACAACAGTCACTGATCGGGGAATGAATAAAGATGCTTTTTAAAAATCTAGTTTGGGATTTTACTAAAAAAAAAAAAACCCAAAAATCAAGAAATCCCTTCTCGGTCACGCCCTCTCTCATTTGTAGGTTGCATCACCCACAGACACAAGCAATTTTGACAGTTTCCCTGAGGACAGTGATGAACCACCACCTGATGACAACTCGGGCTGGGACATAGACTTCTAATGTATTTCTCTTACCTGCTTCTGCCTTGCTGAAGTCAGCTTTCTCTGAGACACGGCTGACAGCAAACCTGAGGGACAGAATGAAGATCAGTGCTCGGGGTCACCATGATGCCTTTGATCGATGCTGCTCCAGTAACTACAGTGGCATGAGGACTTCTTGCTTAGACGACAGTAGTGCTCTTTACATGTTTTCTGTTTGATCCTAAAAATAGCAGTTGACATGGTGGTCCTGAAGCAAAGCCCTTCGCCAGTAAAGAGAGGTTTCCTGTCGTGGCAATGGTCTTGCTTTGCTCGGACTGTAATTTGAAAGACTGTAAGAAATACTTCAACCTAGAAAAAGAGTCCGTACCTTGCTAGGATGGCCAAGATCAAAAAATAATGTGTGGGGTACGATCGGTTGCCGTGGTACCAAAACGGGGCTCTTCCTTTCCTTCAAGGGAGGCCATGGGATCTATTAGCGCAAGCCAGTGTCTATACCATACGGAAGAGGGCCACGCGTCTATGGGTCACGGCGTTCATGTCAAACCAGTGCTAGAAGTTTCCTGATTTTGTTTCCCAACAGTGCTGATGACGAGGCTGAATGTTACCTTTCCTTTCTGACAGATTTTAAAAATCGATACAATCAAAGCACAACCGCTATGAAGCCTCACGGCAGGTATATATGCGTTTTCACGGAGGATTGAAAAAAAAAAAAAAAAAACCTGCATGACATTTGTTTTTTTCTTTTTTTGATAAATTGGCATGACAGGGGGGAAAAAAAAAAAAAGCAATTCACAAACCATTTCATATCGTTTCAAATATCGTGCTTCAAGATGGTCCTGGAAATCAGTGACTAGCAGCCAATTGATTTTTCTTTATTACCTAACATACTCTCAGACTGAGGCTTAAAATAGTCCCTTTTATAAAAATCAACCCTTGGGGTGGGGACGGGGTGGGGGGGGCGGGGTGGAGAGGGATGAAGATCCGTCCAAAAATAAAAATAAACTATATAGGTGCTATGTATATCTTTCATCTGTAAATGTCCGTGTCTGAGCAGACAACACAAATTCTAATCATCACCTGTGTAGCCAGAGACTCAAGCATTTTCACTACATTTACCAATGAAACTCCCGTCAGATTTCACTTACACAACATAGTCTAGGGTTGAGGGGAAAGGTGGTTAAAACCCATTCAACTGGCTTCTTGTCTTAGGCCTGAACCAAAAAGAAGAAGAAGGAAGCACAAAATCATCAAGATTTACCAGATGAGGGACCTTCCTTATGCGAGGTCAGGGAACAGGACAGGACCTGGCCAGGTGTTGATTCCCTTTTTGTGGATGAGCCGATGTGAGTTCATGCATGCGTGAGAGTAGAGGAGAACACAGGACCCTGATTTCTTAAGCAGAAGTTTTCATTAAGTAAGACGGAAGTATTGCAATCCTGAAACGTACCTGGAAATACCAGACTGATTTGCTTTTTCATGAGGGAAGAAGAATCGGCAGTTTCAAGTGAATCCTCTGTTGGCAGGCGAGTTGACTACTCTGAGCTGTTCTAAGTAGCAGAGACATTTGGAAGCTTTTCCTGGACAAGTAGCGTTAAACCTGCGTAGACAAACGCATAATCTTACGAGCTGTCATCCTGATTTAGAGCTGTGTGTGAATTTGGTACATCAAATTGAAGTTTGCCTTGTTCCAGGAGAGAATTTTCTTTTTTTTTTAAACTCAATCAAACGTAGACGGTTCTGCAAAAAACATGTCCACGTCGGTCATTGATTTTTTTCATACCAAGACTACTTTAGAATAGGATATCAACACGTAATGATCTAAAAACAACATTCGGGGAATAAAAATTATAAGGGCATATTAAACAGAATCAGAGTAAAGTTAAACTTTTAAATTAAAACTTTGACCCCCAAGATGTTACGGTTCCTCCTGTGTTTTTCTGGCCTTTGCAAACAATTGCTTAAGATCAATTTATTCCCCAAGATATCCACTTTCTTCTACAGATTTCAGAATATAAAATGTACCCAGCTAAAATCCAGCTGTGAGTGCTATTTCAGAATTTTTACATTTGCTTTTAACTGGGCTCGTAAAAGTACATAATTTCAATATCATGGTCAATGTTCAGTGAGTTTTGTTAAAAGAGTGCTTTAGGCATGCTAACGATTTGCTAGATACTAAGTTTATCTCGTCGTTATTTAAGAGAATCTGCTCCCGCGGTTTTCCAAATGCCCCAGTAACCCCAGAGGTTAGCCCTTACCGTGGATGTCGAAACTATGGTTCAAGTCTAAGACAACAGCGTACAGGTTCTCTGAGGAATGAAGAGAACATTCAGCTCAATGGCACTGTCGGCCGTCTCTCCCACCTGTCGCTCTCTCTTCGTTCATGTCACCTGTGGCGCTGCATTAGGATGTCTAAAGCAATCACTAGCAAACAAAGGCGAACATCTTCCAAAAATTGCTGACAGTCATCTGATCTTAGGCATTGAAATGTAAGGATTTAAATCCTGTCCTAAGACACTAGGGCTAAAATTCACGGTCAGCTCCGTAAAGCGCATCTCACTTCATTTCCGAATTTTTCATACCCCTCCGTGTTCTTACACTGGAGAACATCTGGCTAAGTTAGAATAGTGCCAACTCGTGTGATTTGTTAACTGACTTTCTTGTTAATACTTTGAGTCTGGGAAATAAGGGCTTTCTGTGCATCCTGACGCACAGGAAAACTGAAAACTGCCAAAGGAAAGGGGCGTCCCGATATTTGAGAGACACCGAATACGTTAGAGAAAATGATTTCTGGAAATTTCCTATCAATGATTTTCATGTTTGTACCTTCTTCGTTACTCACATATGAATCAGATCCATGTGGCATTGAAAACAAATTTATTTTGAGGATATTCTTTACAAGTCACGTTTCTTACTTGAAATGATGGGATTTGCATGTGAATCACGCATGTGTAACACATGAGTTCAACTCTTGAATTTTTCTGGTTTCATTTCTCAAGGACTGAGCTAATGGCGAGCTTAGAGAAGTCAGCTACCACACTGAAAATAAGGAAATTAGAACGGATTCATACAGTAGAGGCGATCTGTGCATTATCCATAACGATGTTTTCTTTCACAATAGGACCACAGACAAACATTTATGTAAATAGATATTTTTGTGTGCTATTTTGTGGTACATATACCTTTTTTCAGTGTTTCACAGCATTATTATTTCATCTTCTTTGTACTGAATAATGTTTTTAGGTCCAAGTAGACTTGAATTAATGTCATAATTGTCAGTATTATTGAAAATTACGTCCACTGTATGGTTTCATCTGTTCCATAGTTTAGGACATGACCTGGCTATCTGGCATTGTTGCAAGTGCCTTAAATTCCTGGCATCCTATTAAAAAACAAATTTGGTGTTATGCTGCATGAGAAAGACAAATCCACCTCAAAATGTTGTCCTTTCTTAGCTTGCTGCGTTTTACAGTTCTTTCTGCTAACAATTTCTAAGCCTTTATTATATAATATTGATGAATTACAGAAATGATGAAGTTGTTCTCTAATTTCTGTTACATGTACCAGAGCTGTGTATCTGTTACTGAGATACAGCGTCATTTCTGTGAAATGTATAAATGTATGTGCAGGTCAAATTAATCTATGACATACTATCAGTCTGTACACAGGTATTCCTGTTTTGCTAAGCTGTGCAGATCCAGTTAAAAAAAAAAAATTAGTGCAGTCAAGTTCTAATGCCTCATTTTATAGACTCCATTCGTAACGACCCAACTCAAAAGAAGAATCAGCAAGTGACACGTCGTTATGAAACCAATGAGGAAAACGTACCTTAGCGCACTCCTCAACAAAACAGGATGCTTTCTGAGTTCTTGTATATGCAAATCACGTAGGAGGCAAGTTTGCAACAGACCTGGGAAGATAAACATTGGAAGCGTGTTGTTAGCCCTCCTCCTTATCTGCCCCTGGGACCCTGACAGTGACTCAGAGGTTTGGGCTTTCCGAGGAAAGGGACATTTCTTTAGGCATCATCTGTCCACTTTATTTCATTGTATGATGTTTTTACAATTGGTCGGTTCTTTTGTATTCTTACAGCTATGGTTATTTGATTGTCCTCTTACAATTTGTTCCACATGGAAGAGTCCTTTGTTAGTCAGAATGCAACCACTGTCATCAAATGGTCAGTGACCACTTGCACTCTTTTGATGTAGATTAAAAACTTTTTCATAAAATTAACCTGCTTTGATTTGCTCTGTATTTTTCCTGCAGCTGTAGTTGCTGAGTGCCTGTTGTATACTTTATAGAGTTGAAATAAAAAAAAATAATTACTTTTGAACTTAGTTGATGTTTCATTCCAGACAAGATTTCGAGAACACGGTTGATGAATCCTCCTGGAACGGAAATACGCCGCAGCGCTATTTTAGAACGTCACTAAAACAAGAGAAATGTTACTCAGGACCCAGGTGTCCTTCACACCGGCGTGTATTCTGATCTGATAGAAAGCTAAGCTAGCATAGCAGTTTAAAGAATTCAGTGGGGATAAGTCAGGTAAGTCAGGCCATCCAGCGTGAACAGAAAGGCAAATGTAGATACGCACACAAACCCCAACCTCGGTGGTGTTCTGTGTGCCACTACCCCTACCCCTACCCCCCACCTCCTCCCCATCCCCACCACACTCTCCTTGTTTGGGCTACCCTTGGTCAAACTGTGAACTCGGCAAAACATCAGAAAGGTTAAGTCTTGTATAAGGCTGTGTGCTAAGACTTCTAGGAAAAGCAGCTCCGTGAATCTTTGTAGACATCCAGTCATCTCATTTCTTCTGCAAATAGAACTCAACCATGGTTTTCAGTATCCTCCCCTTATATTCTGTGATTTTCATACCCTTGATCTAAGAACGCTCGTCTTTGATCCTGGGAAGTTTTGTTTTGTTTTGTTTTGTTTTCCTTTGGTGTTACTTACAGTTTTTGGAGAGGCGTGCAGATCAATACTCGTGATGATTAGCTGAAGCATGTGAGGATGTTGCATTCACACCACTGTCACATCTTGCACAAGTTAATTGCAATTGAAGTAAATCACACAATTACCAATGACAGCAGGAATCGATTATAAATTTGGCTCGAATGTATTGTTGATCACACAGCTTGATTAAGGGTAGATGTGCAGGCAGAATGTCGAGTCTCAGTTATAGCCCTAAATGTGGAAGGCACATAACACAGAGCAACCTTTTTTTTTTTTTTTTCTGAGCTCCCTAGAGTTTTTCTCTTGTTCCATACTTTTTTCCAACTCAGAAGCCCCATAAACTGAAAGAAAAAAAAAAAAACAGTAATGTTTACCTATTCCACCTATGTTTTTTGACCAGGGTGAGTCTATGAGGCAAAAAACAAACCATCCACATGCCCATTAGCTAAAGCAGATGAATTAAGGCTCATGCAATAATAATAATAATAATACCACTAAATTAAAAGAAAAAAGAGAAATCAAGGTATCACTAAGAATCCTAAGGGTTGGCACAGATTTCATAGAAATTAATAGGCTCTAGACACATGTTCCAAGCCAGTGTTCTTTTAACATCGATGTCATGATATGTATCTGGGAAATACGGTGAAAATATTTCCAGCACCACCCGCGGTTATTTTGACATAGCCCCAGAATCTGTATTTTTAAAAAGCACCTTAGCATATTTTGGTGAAAATATCTATACACATCCAGGGAAGAGAAAGAGGAAAAGAGGATTCGTGGAAAAGCATTTCAGGAATGATAGCGTAAAAGACCAAAGAAAAAGTCCATAAGGAGTTATG